TATACACCTAAGCATCAGATCTTGATTCCCGATCCAACATAATTTTTAGGGAGGCTGATCCAGGTCGTTGATTTGTTTTTTCAAACTTGGATCAAGCGTGGATAAACATTTCAAGCGTCGATTCTACTTTGGCTCCAACTGCTCATTCAACACATACATCGTGATACTCTTAAGATAGTCCTTTGAGCTTGAGGCAAGTGCTTTACAACACTCTCAAATTACACAAATTCTTTTTTTTTTTTTGAAGAACGTAAGCCTTAACAATACGGATTCCAATGGTCACGATGTTGGGTTTATGTGGCCTTTAAAGGCCTTATGAGTGCTTGTAAAATAAAATAATATAGTGGAACATGAACTCAGTGGGAGTGTAGTCCTTCCTGGACCATAATAAGTAAACGATGTTTGCAAATACTGGACTGTGCTTGACGATCTAAGCCAGTCGGTTGAGAAAAACCCATGTTACCTGGGCATAAAGAACAAACCAAGAAGGGTTGTAATAGGTTAGCCCTTAATGAGGTCGGAGAATATGCTTAGATGAGTGAGCCGAGGGACTGTGTGACCCTTGTGTGTGATGGTGGCTTATAGAGACAGGGGTCAAAACCTTATCCATGTACCATCACACGGCATGCATATCGATAGATCGTTCGAGAAAGTTCAAAAATCTACCTTTTAGGGTGCAGCGTATACATGTATCAGAGATACCCTTATGCGCTATAGAGCTGTGGTCGCATAAAGTCTTGGTGACCTTGACTTGTCTCTAGGGGAGGACCTGAAATCTACATACTGAGATTGTGATCCCTTAGCTCATCGACTCGACTTTAGTGACCCGCTAATGAGCCCTTGCTTGGATTATGGGTCATGGGTAACACTGGGTCGGCTTGATAAAGCAAGTGTGGTCTGTAGTTTATAGTTGAAGGTGGAATGCCCCATGATTATTGATTCTTAAACCATATGGATCATTTTCCCATCAAATTAATTTAATTGGGTTTGTTTTATGATGAAAATTATTTTAGATTATTATTTGAATTCTTATGAACTCCTGGATATTTTATTTATAATTTTTGGATTTATAAATTAAATATATTGATTTTACAATTGTTTAAATATTCAAATAATATTTTAAAATCCTTTTATTAATTTTAAATATATAAAAATATCATGAGGGCCCATTGTGTTCATGGGCCCGCCATTTTTTTAGAAAGTGGGGCCCATGAGTACCTCCCTTGGGTGGCACGCCCCACCCTTATTCTTTTTCATATTTTTTGATGATATGGCATGTGGCCATATGGTTGGAAGATATTGACTTGATATATCTTTGAAAGATTTTGTGGAAAGATTAAGTAGACTTATGATATTTTATGATATGCACAATATTTTGATTAGATTTAATTTATTTAATTTCTATTGATGGGAAAATGATTTAGGAAAGGGGGATAATGGTTCATTCACCTTCTATAATGTTGATGACCCATCTATGAAATGAATGACTCAAATCTCTCACCCCACAAGTCACCCTTGATCGACGGTCTATGTTCAATCTCACAAGAAGAGGCAAGCCAAAGAAAACCCTAAAAAATCCTAATCTTATTCAAAGTCTATACAAATTGATTGTCTGTACCAAAAAATCTCTACACCTTATATTTTTATCTCTCTCTTTTAAGAAAGTTTATCTCTCTTATGTTTGATCTCTCTCATACATTGTGAAAGAACCTGAGGGTTTAGGTTATGGAGTTATTCTCTCCTAGCTCTAAAATATGGATTTATGGCTAAGAGGTTTAGGGCTTAGTAAAAAGAGAATTCATCTCTCTAAAACTAAGTTGCTAAGAGAATTCACCTAGGGTTTGAGTTTGTGATAAAAAAGGTTCATGTTTCATTAGTGTGGCTTGGCCGAAATTTACTTTCCCTGTTCGAAATTGAAGCTAGACCGATGATCCCGCGCTATCGGATGGTGGTGACTCGGTGTGGGGTGTAATAAGCCCAGTTAAGTTAATCTCAACCACTCTTCCTTTTATTTCTTTTAATCTTATCTTTTATTTTCAAGCATAATGCATAGTTGTTTCAATGACATCAAGTTGTTAAGATCTTGATTTTATTATTATATTGATTTTTTTTTAATTTATCTTATTATAATAAAGACCACCTGTAAATAATCTTTAGCTAAAAGAAAGGGGTGAAATATATATATATATATATTCTTCAGTAAAAGATCACATAGGTTTTTCTATCACATGAAAGCTCCTAAATACTAAGATATAGTCCTTGTATGATCAGCAAAGAGGATTTTTGTATCTAAAATTTTTGGATCTAGGAACAAAATGTGAGTACTATTAAGTGATGGATTTTGACTAACCAGTGTTCGAAACCATTATTGGGGGTGAGTACTCGGCCAATACCCGATTGAAGTATTTGGTCTGAGTCCAAGTAACTCGGTCCAAGTAGGGCCGACTACTGCAACAACAAAAAAGAGGTTAAAACACATCAAAATGTGGTTAAAAAAATAGTAAAAAAAAGCAACTTTTGATTGGGGTATTTTGAAAATAATCTAAAAAAGATAGAAAAATGTAAAAATAAGTGTTCATTGCCCAAACACTTTCCATTTTTTACCAAAATGGTAAAACAAAAAAAAAATCCTAAATAAATTCCTTATTTTTTGAATTTTTTTTTTATTTTTTGAATTAAGTGGGACAACTAACTCAGGCCGGCCACCTCAAACATAGTACTCGGGACTCCACCGAGTAGTCAAACACTAGATCTAACAATTGAAAACTTGGATCGTCACGTGTAATCCATGGGCATGATTTTGTTTAGGCTGATCCAAGGAGCATATTCGAAGTTTTTATTTTTATTTTTTTTCAGGTTGGAGGTTTGTATCCCCAAAATTTGTGGTTCCAAAAATAGTTCTAGCAAGGGGTTTTCCCATGGAAGCAAACGTACACTTTGCTCACGCATTATAAAATCTTCACCATATTTTAGTGAACAATGTGCTCCCCAAAACCTCACAACAAACTCTATCAAAAAGAAATGTACTGGTAATATTTGGATTTTTTTTATAGTTATCAAGATTATATCGGACCAATTAATCCTACCAACCAAAGTGTCCATCGGTGCTTTGGTGACTTTGATACAAATCGATAATCGAGTTTGGTTTAAAGTTAGTCAAAACTCAATTTTGGCTAGTTGGATTTGTTAAATCTATCCGATTAGAATTTCTAAGCAAATTAAGTGAATTGTTTGTATTTTATATTTTTTCAATATTTCTACTTTGGGATTGCATACTATAATATCATTTATCTTTGTTACAAAGACTTCACAATTGCTACTAGCCATTAGATCTCAAATTGAATTGCTTGAGTGTATCACAACGTTCAAAAAACAATATTTGAAGTTTGAGTCTAGTCCATGATATTTACAATCACCATATTTGAAATTTGATAGACGGAGTAATTGTAATAGCTTTGTATTAAAATAAATGATTTCTTTATATACTTTTCCTTCTATCTTATTGTTTATTCTTAAAAAAACCAGTCCCATAAAAATTGAGCTAGAATCATGCTCACATAGGAGACTATTGTACAATAAATCTCTCAAGCAACATCGCTCCTTGGCCAATTTTTTTCAGCCCAAGTCTTGGGATCCATTTAAGTACCAGTAGATGATTATCATGAAAGAAAAATATTTAGATTCCGACTTCTTGAACGTCTTGATCTTTCCCTCTGGACGGTTCTATGCATCTCAAGATGTTCAGACATGTAGAGAGAGGGATTTAAATTTTTATTTTTTTTTTGTTGATATTGGACTGTGGTTTCTAAAAATTTCAACCCTAAAATTTGGGATCTAAAAAGTATTGCTAACATTGATTTTGTCCAAGGGAGTACATGGACAAAATACTCCCGCAGGGAGTAGGAAATCTTCTGGTATAAAAATTACGCACACTCATTATTTACAAGCCTTTGCGTACATACATTTTTGGCTAAATTACTTGGAGCACCCCCATTCGGGCAGGTTCCACACCGCACAGGAGGAGCGGAGACAAAACCAGAGTAACTGATGACTGAGTATGCTATCTATTTAGTCCCTCAGCAAAATGTATGCTAGGGATACTTTTTAGATCTTTGGAGATATAATCTATATAAGCCTTACAATAATATAAGCAAAAAACATTTCCAAAATAATTTATCTATGTATTAGAAAATTTTAATGCCTCAAGATTGAACAGAGAACGGTCCAATTTTTTAATGGTTAAGTCCCTAGAATAATATGAGAAAAACAAGTCCAAAATAATTTCTTTAGGTATTAGAAAAATTTAATGCCTCAAGATTTAATAGAGACCTCCAATTTTTAAGGTCTGAGTGTCATAAAATTCAAAATTCGTATTTTTTTTTTTTAAATAATCAGATAGTAACTGGTTCCCAAAATTTTTTTAAAAAAATAAAAAAATCAATGTAGCGAGGTGTTTTAGCCGATGGGGTAGATGCACAGATTGCTCCTGCAGAGTGTGCTCTTGAAAGTGATTTTGAGTGCATGTAGCGAGGATAATTGTACATGGGGAGCTCCTGCAGGTGATGTGATGCGGTCGGTAAAGAACGCTACCATTTTCATTTGAGTTGTAATGTGGTGACTCTCTCTGTGTCTCTCCTAAGAGAGAGAAAGGGAAACTATGCCGTTGATAAGGAAGGGGGAATCTCTTCACCGGAAAGCTTCTGATGCGAAATCCATGCCTGAATCTCGTTACAAAATTTGGGCCTTTCAGAGAACACAGACCGGAATCCGCCATAGCTTTGCTCTCTAAACCCTGCAAATCAAAGGCGGAATTAAAACAATTTCATGCTCAAATCATTCTTAGCAGAACCATTTCTTTCTGTGTAGACCACGGTGAACTAACCTATACAAACTTGGCTTTCTCTCGCATCGGGAGGCCGAATACATTTGTCAACAACACCATGATGAGAATCTATATAAACTCTAACAACCCATCTCAAGCCCTTCTTTTTTACCTCAAAATGAAGAGAGAGAAATCCACTGCAGATAGGTACACTTTTCCCCTTGTTCTCAAGGCATGTACCCTTTTACAGTCAAAAGACACTGGTAAAGTCCTTCATGGATGCACTCTAAAACTTGGGTTTTCCTTTGATTTATTTGTTCAGAGTGGGCTAATTAGATTCTATGCTGAATGCGGTTTTATTGATTGTTCTCGCCGTGTATTTGATGAAATTCTTGAAAGAGATATTGTTATATGGAACACTATGATTGGTGGGTACATGAAGCATGGTCTAATATCTGAGGCGATAAAATTATTTAATGAAATGCCTGCTAAAAATATTGGAAGTTTTAACACTATGCTTAGTGGGTATGCGAAATTTGGCGAATTGGAAAATGCAAAGAAAGTATTTGATCAAATGCCGGAAAGAGATGTCATTTCTTGGAATTCCATGGTAATGGGTCATGCTAAATATGGATCCTTGGATGTTGCTCGTGAAATTTTTGATCAAATTCCTCGAAGAAATGTGTCTTCATGGGCTAACCTTATATCAGGGTTGGCTCAAAGGAGCGAATTCGTAAAAGCTTTAGAAACCTTCGTTGAAATGCAAAGAGACACAGTTAGACCGAACCAAGCTATATTGGTTAGTATTCTCTCATCTTGTGCTCATTTGGGTGCTCTTGATCAAGGGATTTGGGTTCATGCCTACCTAGAAAAATGCATGACTAGTTTGGATGATATACTATGTGCTAGTCTTGTAGATATGTACTCGAAGTGTGGTTTTCTAGAGGCGGCAAACATAGTATTCAACAAAACAAATCCCAAAGGAGTCTGTGGATGGACGGCTATGATTTTGGGGCTCGCCATACATGGACAGTCAGATGATGCCCTACGCCTCTTCGATAAAATGCCGGAGGTCGGGATGAGGCCAAACGGCCGCACTTGCCTAGCTGCCTTAAGTGCTTGCGTGCATGCTGGTTTTGTTGATAAGGGGCATGAAATTCTTGATACTATGCATCGAGTTCATAACGTGAGACCGGAATTAGAACACTATACGTGTGTTATCGACCTTCTTAGTCGTGCAAACCTCTTCGACGAGGCCCAAGAGCTTGTAAGGACCATGCCATTTAAGCCTGATGCTTTTGTTTGGGGAGCTTTATTAAGCGGTTTTAGAATTCATAGAAGCTCAACTGTATCTCTGAGCGAAGACATGGGGAGGGAGATGTTGAGATTGGGTGCTAAGGATAGTGGACCTTTTGTGAGTTTGTCAAATATATATGCATCTTGTGAGAGATGGGAAGATGTAACAAGATTGAGAACCTTGATGGGTGATGTAGGAGTGAGGAAGAACCCTGGTTGTAGCTTAATTGAGGTGAATGGTGAAGTTCATGAGTTTCTAGCAGGGGAGAGATCTCACCCTCAATGTAAAGAAATATATCATTTGTTAGATGGGTTATCAAGACATATTTACGGGAATTGGATGAAATGATACACATTCGGAACCCTCGATAAAGCATGATGAGGGGGAGATAAGCTTTGAAATTAAAAATTAGGGCCTTTCCATATTAGAAGTTGTATCGGATTGGATCATCAACCCAATGGATGAGCCATTTTCATTGTCATTGTACTGGTTGTTGAAATAAGGTTCGCTGGCCTAACGGTCCCCCTGTTATAAATTGGCCACGACTTGGCAAATTTGAACCTAATCATCCAATTTCAAATTTGTGTTTAGGGCTAGGAAATAGGAATGCGCCTCGCTGGGTACCTCTATTGTGGCCCGGGCCTCACAGATTTTTTTTTTAAAAAAAAAAGAAAAAGGAAAACTAAGGGAAGCACCAGGGCAGCCAGCCATGTTCCTAGCTTAGGCTATAGTTTTTCTAGGTCATGCCACCAAGCCTGTTACCAGCCCTTCTGCCAATTGGGTTATGGTTATACAAAGGGATGATAGAGATTGACTTTAGGAACACAAGAACAAGGCCTATTGAACGCATCTCAACCGGCCAACCCGGATCCGGATCCATTCGCCTATGGAGAAAGAGAAAGACCTGGCAGAGTGAGAAGTCAATCTTTCTGTGAAGCTTGCTTGTGCGGAGTGAGAAATCAATCAATGCCATTTGATTTGTTTTTCCTTTTCTGTTTGGTTTTTATGTTTTTTATAAAAACATATAAAAAATTGTGTCAATTTGGTTTATATGGTTATTAAAACTCCTCAGAGTTTTGTTGAGGATTTTTCTATTATTTGCATATTCTATTCAATTATGTTTGTGTCAACATACTGAAAATGTGTGAAAAAATGAAGACTTCAACTTTCCATTAAAAAATTAGTTAAAATTATGTAAAAGTGGTTTTCAATAAATATCTGCAATTTTTCTTTCTGAAATTTAGCAGAATTTAAAGAAGTTTAACAAAATCATTGACTGTGGGAGATATGATTTCCATGATTGAGGACACATCATTAGAGGAAGCCGACCCTTTCTTTGATATATACATGATGAATATTTAATAGGAGAGAGAGAGAGAGAGAAAAAGATGGAGAGATAGTCACTCGGCATTAAGAAAGAGCTTCCCATTCTACATTAAGTCTGTCGAGTTCAATGTTCGAAAAGTCAGAGTCCGAGTAACTTGGCCCGTGCCCCAGCAACTCGGCCCATACCCTAGGCAAGTACTCACCCGAGTCCGAGTAACTCGGCCTCAGTAGGGCTGAGTATTGTAGCAGATGAAAACTATTAAAAAATAAATAAAAAATACAATAACACCCAAAAATAGGAAAAATATATTTAAAATAAAATTTAGCAAAACACAGCTAATTGTGGTTAAAAAAGTCTTGATAAAATATACTTTAAAAAATGAGTTTGTAATGGGGTATTTTCAACAAAAAAAATTCAAAAAAGATGAAAAAATGGTAAAATAATTTATTGATAACCATAATACTTCCAATATTTGTTAAAACGATAGAAAACATTAATAAACGTGTTACAAATTTTTTTTTTTATTTTAAAATTTTTTTATAATTATTTAAAATTTCGTTAAGATCCAACTCTAGACAACTTGAACAAGTCGAAAAACTTTTCAAACATTGGTCTGGGTACATGCTTGTATGAAGTGGGAGAGAGAGAGAGTAGTATACGTCATTGAGATTAATGAAAGGTACTGTTAAAAAAAAATAAAAAATAAAAATTTTAACCATGTGGAGCAGAATGAATTGCTCTCAATTTACGGGTTGAAGTCTCTTAGTGCTTGCATGAGCGTGGGAGGGGGAGGAGGTATATGCGTGTGTGGGACGAGATATATACGTGTGTAAGTTGGGGGTGGGTTGTAAAGGCTTGGCAAAGCGGTGGGCTTAGACCGGGCCGCTCCTAACCCTAGCCCATCTCTATTCCCCATAGGGAGGCCCAGCTCCAGCCCAAGCCCATCCTTAGCCCTAAAAGGGCCAGGCCGAGCCAAAAAAAATAAAACAAAAGAAAAAATAAAGATAAGATGACCCGACGGGCCTTAGCCCAAGCCCGAACCCTATCCTCGAGTTGTGGATGCCCAGCCCGCAGGCCATATTTCATGACCTAAACGTTACTTTTTTAGTTCCGGACTAACGAGGCCAAGGCATCCGGCCCATTGTTACCCTTAGTTTTCTAGTTTTGGATTGAACCGGTGGAGCCACCCAGCCCATTGACACTTAGGTTTTTAGGTCTGGACTGACCGGGCCGATCCACCAGGCCCATTACCACCCTCATATATCATCTCGTTTCTCCAAAACATAACACACTCGTTTCCATAGGCGTCATTCTAATGCTCCCTCTCCCTCTCTCTCTACGCAACCGGATGCTTCCACGTGTCACTCTCTCTCCACCCACCCAAAAAGTGTGTCTGTCATTAACCCACCCCAAGATTCTCAAGCCACACAAGCCCTAAAAATTTTACCCCTTCCCCAATTTAGTAAAACCAATTAACCTAAACAGTGCGTAAAATATCCATAATACCCTAGTCTCCAACTGTAAATGCTGGACCCCCACAAAAGCATTTCTACCCGATAATGACCGGAAATAAACCCAATATTGTAATAATTAACATTCCTTATTTTTTATTGTTTTTTGGGAAATACAAGTGTTTGTTTGCCGTTGACGTGGTGGCTATTTAAGATATTAATCAAGAAGGAAGGGTTGCTTTCGGACCGTTCTGAAATTATTTGCATTTCCGATATTTGGCCCATGACAAATGGACAAAACCCCAATCGCTCTTCCCCTTCCCTATAAATACAACTCCAGCCCCTTCTTCGTTTCTCTCTCTCTCCTCTCCCCAATACAATCTTTCCTACTCTCTAAACTCTCTCTCTAAACCCCCCCAATACCTTCTGATTCCGGCCATTCTTCCCTCTGATGCCTGCCCATACCCAATCTTCCGGCCAAATCCTCCGGCATATCCGCCGGATCTGAACGGAAATCCGGCTTCCAGCTTACCGATCTCGCTTATAACACTCTGTCTCTGAACCCCATCTCTCTCTCTCTCTAGAGCCCTATATCTCTTTCTCTCTCTTCAGGGCCGTTACTTTTCCATCTTTTCCCCTTTTATTTTTCCGGGTCTTGAAATAATTCTTTTTTTTTCCCGTCAAAATTACGGAAGTCATTTTTTTAATTTTCATTTCTTTGGCGGTTGCCTGCCCACCACACGATCTTGCTGACTTGGCGCCATCTCATCGAGTTCTGTCCGTACCGCAAGATGTCGAGTGACACCCGAGCGTCAAAGAAGAGGAAAACGAAGAACGGCGATTTTGACGCCGAGGTGTCAAGAAGCCAATGCGAAGCCGAGCGGGATAACCGGCTCCTGGCTTGCTATTTGGCTCACGAGTTCCTCTCTCGAGGCACTCTCTTCGGTCGCTCGTGGAGCCGAGCCGCGGGCTCGAGCCGCGCCGAGCCAAGCCATGTGAGACGTGGCGGTGATGGAGACCGTCAGATCTACGCCAACGTGGCTGAGATGATGAAATCGGACGACGTTCACCTACCCGGCATCGTCAACCCCACTCAGCTCGCTAGCTGGCTGCGATCGTGACACGTGGACGGCTACAACGCGACCGCGTGGCAGAAAACCCTTCTCCACGTGGCGTGTTTCGATTTGCTGGACTCCCCCTCTCCATGCAGCGTCGTTAGAGCGACCACCCCGAGAGCTTACGAGTACGCTCAAGTTCAGTGTACGGTCTAATACACTGTTGTGTACGGTTTGTGTAGTATTTGTTGTATCCTAGATAGCATGCAGCGCCTGTGTACCAGTGATTGGACGGTGTAGGTTTCATCGATCGTACCTTCTTATTCGGGACCCTTGCTCGAGGTAAGCTTGACGAGCTCATGCTTCTCCATTTCACGGTCCAGATTTCGTTTCATTTTTCAGGGGACGGTCGGGATTGGAGAAGGCCCATTCGCCTGGTGCGAACCTGGGTCTTCATGTGAAGTTTCATTGCTTCTGCAACGTAGGATTCATCTTTCTTGTTCTTGTTTATTTTCCATTGTTGATGCCAAGTTCAAGTTCTTGAAACTCTATGTTTCATATCTCGCGAAAATTTCATTCGAATTTCGGCTGACTTTCGATCAACCTGAAAACTGATGGCAACTTTCTCTCACTTAAATACTGAGCGTTACTCTCTCTCTCTGGTAAGGAAGGATAGACATGAATCTAAATACTTCATTTCTTTGTTCTTTTTACTGTTTTCATAATCTTTACCAAGTATTTAACAAATTCATTTCTATCAATAATTGCATTCAATTATTAGATTCTCCCTATCTCGAGTCCAAATGATGCCATTTGCACTATACTTTTAAACCAAAACTGTATCTATCATTTAACCAAAACTGTATCTATCAATCATTTAACTTCTTAATAATTTATCTTAAACAGATGTTATCGATAGTAAGTTTTTAAAATACCTAAAAAGGCTATCAAAATATCCGAGATGAACTATTACTATTTAATATTGTATTCACTTGTAACTATTCCAATTCAAGATAATGTGTTTTTCTTTATTTTTAAAGAAAATAAAAAAATATGGATAATGCGTTAAATTATTCGCAATTTGATAAATTTCCGTTATAAAAAAAACCCAGAAAATACATCGACATATGGTGTGTGGTTTTATGAGGCTGAGGCCTTAAACAATCAAAGTAAGGCATACCGTCAAAATAGTACCAAAATATAATGTTTCACTATAAAAAATCTTTATAATAGTCTGAAATTTTATTTTGTATCTCTGATTATAAAATTTAAAGGTTAAAAAATAGTATAGATTGAGCAGATCTATGAACACTTGAAAATCTTGAAAACTTACGGTCTAGATAATATATTATATAATACATTTTTTTCAAGTCTTAAAATCTATTTTTTCTCATGTCCATACGTCTTGAGGCCGAGATGATCGAATCGAAAGTTTTTCAGCATCGATACAATTACTTCTAGTGAATTTTAAGGCGTGCCTTAATTTGATTGTTCAGGGCATAGCCCTTATATATG